GTTTTTATATCAGCAGATTGATTGTAGGCCAAAAACCTGTAGGAAGACATTCCAGATGAAAATGTTATTATAGCAGACAATGACAAATTTTCTCTGTGAGCTCTCTGTAGAAGATGGTGTTTGGGAAAATTCAGGGATCCTGTCTGCTGAAATAAATGATTAGTGCATCTCCTTTCTGCTTCTTCCGTATGGCTTTGTGTAGTTTTTTCTCCTCTGAACAAGTATTCATTCAATGTTTGAGGAAGTTTTAGGAACCCTGACTTTAAGTCATGCATGCTTTTAATAAAAATTATAAAATTGTATATATAATGTTTATATTGGTATAAATAGGCATACATATGGTTGATAGATCAAAATGGATGTGCAAAGACTAATCATGTTGGAATGGTGAGATTTGGATCATTCAAACATATGTTTTTTAAGTGCTCTTGTTTCAGAAATGTTAACAACAATATTAGATTTATCCATTCTTTAAAGAAATCTTTAAACATTATTCAGAGACACTCAAATTATTTGAAGAGACTAACAAAACCCTTCCTGAATTTGCTGAATGAAAACTGTCCTTGTTCCAGAGGTGATTGACAAGTTTAACACCATGGCCATCATCGACGGGAAGAAGGAGCACGTGAGCCTGACTGTGGATAACGTCCACCTGGAATATGGTGTTGTGTATGAGTATGACAGCACAGCCGGGATAAAGTGCAATGTGGTGGAGAAGATGATTGAGCCCAAAGGTTTCTTCAGCCTCACCGCCAAGGTATGAATGATCCTGGGAAAACGGGATTTTGTTCTAAATAAAGTAACTGAAACTCTCCCCCACCCCCACTTCCCAAAACGTAAACAGCTGTGTATGCTTCAGCTGTCAGCTCATTCAACTTTCTTTTCTGTTTCCCCCCCATTACTCAGTATGCATACAATCTTCTTTTTTTATTGATCTCTTTTGGAGTACAGTGTTATGTTAGATGGGACTCTTGCCCAGGCAAATGTTAGTTGATTTGGCAAAGGCTTCTCTACATTTAGCAAGTTTGCTACATCTGTTGATTCAGTATCATGAATACCTTTCAGATGGTTTTCATGACAGGTGGTGCTTTTTTAAATGTAGATAATCCTCTGAAAAGTATTTGAAGTCATGAAATGTATTATAAGAAATTTCAAATTCTCCAAGTCTCATGTTTATTTCATATGATTTCACAAAGCTCAGTGATCCATTTATGAATAGATCTTCAGACATTTATGTGATTCTTAATTGGGAAGTATATCACCCTTAGTCTTTAGGCTAAAGCAAGATAGGGAGTAAGAGAGTTTTTATCCAAATGGATGAAACATGTGGTTAGTGAAAGATGGCCCTGTGCTTGCTTTTCATGATCCTTTCACCAGGTGAATAAATAAAATTCCTGTTGGAGGATACTCCCCAGGTCTGAGTTTTAGTATTTCATCTGTATTTATTTATTTAAATGTTTATTTATTTTGAGAGAGAGAGAATACTAAGGTTAGTGCAGAACCTGACATGGGGCTCAATCCCACAAATGTCAGATTGTGATCTGAGCCAAAATCAAGAGTCGGATGCTTAACCAACTGAGTCCCCAAGGCACCCCTGCATCTGCTTTTATATCACCTTGTGAGGATTCAGGTATTACAAGTAAGAAATATGACATATAGCTTCACTACTTTTATTTATTCACATGTCACTTCTTGTTTCATTATGTGTGTGTGTAGCTGAGATAGATTTAGCATTAATAGTATGTATTTTTTAAAATTTTAGTGGCAGAAAATAATGTAGAAATCCAAATGCACTGTTTCAAAAATACTTATTTTATGTTTTTTGTTTTATATTCTGAAAGTCAGCTTCCAAAACAATTGCGTTATTCTGATGACATTGTACCACTCTCTATCTTTCGATATAGCATCTGTGTGTTCAAAATGCCACCTCTGCCCAAATATGTTATATTATCAAGGCAATCCATATAAGTTTGGACCCAGGTTATTATCATTATTTTATCCATTTTCTAGCTATTTCAAATTTGCGAAGTTACATGGATTATTTTATATATGACAACTGTATAAGTACTGAAAATACTTGTATTTCATATTTGAAGAAAAGAGTATCAAAGAAATTAAGAAATTGAACCAAGATCACACAGCTAATGATAAATTGAGCTCTACTTTCTAGAGTAGTGATTAAACCAAAAACTCACACTCTGTATTCTGTAAGACAGGGAAGTGGAGCTTCCTGTGAGGGAGCTCAAATAAACATAGAATCTATACATTGTCTTGTACAGTATTATGAAAATGTCAGGTAAGGGTGCAATCAACCCTTGCAATCTTTGAACAATCATAAATATGACACATAATTCTCCATTCATTGGAAATTCCCAGTGATCAGTGGTAGGTATACACACAAACACACACAAATGCTGCCTTAAAATTGATTCAAATGTTCAAAAGGATTTACTAATTAAAATATCACATGGACGCTTTTATCTGATGTTTATCAGCTGGTGCTCAGATACCGCAAGTGACATTGATTTTATGTTAGTAAGAGAATTTCTTCTCATGTATTCATTTCTTCAGCAAACATTTGTTGTCTGCATTCTCTATACTGGGCTCCCAGTAGAAAGTAAGGATGCCATTCTATAGGTTTTCCTTAGTTTGTGTTGTTCTACTACCAAATTGAGGGGAAAAAAAAGTTCTGAGTAACTGACTAAAATATAGGCAATGTGTTCCCACATCAGAGCATACTGATTAGTCCATCAGGCAGTCTTTGAAGTCCACTCACTTCCCTCAGGTAAACTTTTATAGCCAGCAGAAGGCAAAACACGTGGGGCAAACACACACGTCCATCACTTCGCGGTGAGAGTTTTACTGAGTATAGAAATCCCAGGCAGTGAAAAGAAGTGTGCTAGGGAATGTCACTCTGTGTTCTAGACTTGTGAGAATTGTATTTAGCTAATTTTGAAGGTTTTCTTTACTTGTGTGTGTGTGCGTGTATTACTACAGATTCTTGAAGCCCTGGCTAAAAGTGATGATCATTTTGTGCAAAACTGCACCAGCCTTAACTCTTTAAATGAAGTGATTCCTACTGACCTTCATAATAAATTCAGTGCCTTTTGCAGTGAAAAAATTGAGCACATATGTCAGAGAATATCCAGTTATAAAAAGGTAAAACTTCTGTTTCCTTATTTGACATGTATACATTATTTAAATAATTTAAATGTCCAATTTAATTCACTTATTGATATTTTCATTACTTATTTGTGTACCAGTTTATTGAAATAACATTTATATAACCTTTTAATTTTTTTATTTATGTAATATTTTAGAGTTTAGAGTTTTTAAAATGCCTTTACATCCATTAACCTCATTTGATCTTTGCAAACCTGAAAGCTAGGTCATTATTACACATTTTCGACATATAACTGAGGCCTAAAGAATTCAATTACTTGCTAGCAAAAGATAGAGTTGGGATGTAAATCCAGGCCATGAAATTATGAAGTCAATAGTTCTTTTCTTTTTATCTCAACAGAGGGAAGAGAGCTCTCAATCAGAAAGTACACAGAACATAGTCTGTTTGAAATTGACTGATTTGTACATTTATTTGATATATTTATTGAGCACATTTTATATGCCAAGCACTGTTCTTGGTGCCAGGAATATGGCAGCAAAGGAGAGAACATCTTCCCTCTCGGGGTATTTATATTTGAGAGGGGTAAGCAGCAAAGAAGTAAATAAAGTTCACCTGGGGCTCCAAAGTGGGGGAAAAAAAGCAGCCAGGGTGTCAGGGGGAATATGGCCAAGTCATAAGGTTGGAGGCTCAGACAGGGACCAGGAAGAAGCCCTCTGGAAGCTTTTTACCTTTTGGAACTTTGGAAGGAGTTTGGATTTTTCTTCGCACATCAACAAGAAGAGTTGGAAGCTTTTAAACATGTGTGACTTCATCTGATTTAGGTTTTTAAGAGATGGCGCTGCCTCCTCTGTAGGAATGGATTGCTAGGAAGAGATGAGGCATAGATATGAGGAGAAAGCTCTTGGAATAGTCCCAGTGAGTGATGATGATAGGTTGGCCTGTGGTGAAGATGGGGAGACAGAAAGTTCGATGGATTTGATATAATTTAGAGATAGAATTAGAAGTTGATGTCCAAAATATATCCTACAGTAAGTTTTTTTTTTCTATTTTTGTCAGTAGACTAGCTAATTAAATTATTTCCCTCAAAATGAGGCTGGTTTAAAATTTGGCACAGCCATCCGAGGAAATATCATTTATCTCAGTGTTTCTGAATGTGAGTTAATCTATATGTTTTATACTCCTGATATATTAAGTAAAAGGTAAGCCCATGTATGTCCAGATAGGGCTATATGAGAATAGGGAAATGTAGAAATGAATACTTGAACACTGGTTACCTCAGGTAGAGTGGGACATGGGCAAGAAGGATCACCATATTTTTCTTTAGGACTTCCCTAAATGTTTATCTTGTGAAGTTGAATATGGGTTGCTATTTTGATTTTTTATAAATCCATTCACATGAAGAAAAATGATATTCAAGATTACCGCTTAATTGTCACATCTGTTAATTCTCTTTCCATGATTGTTGAGCTCAGTTCGCCTATTTGATTTCAGGAAAGATTCCATGAATGCTTTGTTGTTGCTGAAGAGCAGAAGATTCTTTTTATTTCTCCTTTCTCTCTAAGATAGGACAGTGTTTGAGGTAAAATTTAAAAGGTCGAAACAAATGCAAATTAGCATTCCCTTTTGAACACATTTTGAAAAGAGAATCATTCTCTTTCAGAAATGGATCTGTATAAAGTATGATAGGCGTTGAGACAGATTCTAGTTGTCAAACTTGTCAGTGTTTGGGGGTCATTTCTCTTTCCGTTTTTTTTTTTTTTTTTAATTTTCTTCCTACTTCTCTCCATTCATACAAAAAAACAAAAGCAGTAGAAATATCTTAAAAAATATACATGAAAAAAGTAAACTATGTGAGTAAAAACAAAACATCAGGATGAGGATATATTAGATAGGGTATTGATTCAGCTGCTGTAAGAAGGACCAAGATAACATGGGCTTAAAACTGAAAGTTGATTTTTCACTCACATGAAGGTTCAACGGGCTGGGAGTCCAGTGGGGACTGGATTGACAATCTTCTAGGGCTGCTTCTATAGTTTTGCTGTCTCCCCTAAGACATTGCCCTCTTCCACAAGGTCAAGGTTGGCTGATCAGCACTATGTCTAAGTTATAGCCCCTCAGGACAGAAAAGAAGTGGAGAGCAAAGAGTTTCCTGTTGAGGCCACGACCTGGAAGTTGTACACATCACTCCTGTTCACATGCAATTAGTCATTTAGTGAAAGCAGACTGAGAAATATTGTCTCAAACTGGACATCCATGTGCCCAAATAAAACTCAGAGAATTTTATTAATAAAAGAAGAAAGAGAGAATGGATATTGGCAGAAAATTAGCAGATACATTTATAGGTAAAGTTCTATTACAATAAATGGTATAGACCACCAAAAAGGTGATAAGGTCAGCAAGTGCTAAAGCTAGTTAGTTGCTAAAGTGGAATATTATATTTCACCTGCAGTTTCCTGATAACCAAAAAATAAATAAATAAATAAATAAATAAATACAGTCTATCACATATTTATCAGCATCCCTATAATTTATACATGTTTCTTAAGAGAAGCAAAGCTTTTCTTAGACTAAATTCTAAAAGAAATCTCTCACGCTGAATTTCAAAGAGGCGACACCAGGAAATGTCAGGGCAGTATCTGTAAACATATCCCTGAAAAAGAAGCGGCAGTTTGTTTTATGTGCAGATATTTTTCATACACTCTTTATTGAAAGCCAATGGCATGCATCAAAAACTCAGCTTCACAAAAGCAAATTTATTGCAGGTTGGGGCGGGAAGAACAGGTAAACGTTTACTAAATGCATACCTGTTATGTAGGCAGTAATTGCTTAAGGATGGCTCCCCTCCCACACCTAAAATCTATATGGAAGACGGGTCAAAATACATGAAGTAGGTAATAATAATACTGACTACTTAACCTATTAGGAAGTGCCACGATGACTGGGTGAATGTGTTGGCACCCCATATCCTCTTCTCTATGATGGTGCTCCCTGGAGTTACACAGCACACATCAGTTTATAGCAATCTGCTGTCATATCAGGCATTGCATAGATATTTTACAGTTTGCATATGTTGTATAATTTTATCCACACAGTGACTTGAGACACATTATCTATTTCATTGATAAGTGGCTGAGGCTCAGAGTGGTCAAGTAACTTGCCCAAAGGCATGCAACTGAACACAGCTGTGGAATTTGAACCTTGCTTCCTTTTATTATAAATCTGTTTTTTGTTTGTTTACCTGCAATTTGACACTGTACTACACAGCATATATATCATTCAAATTCCACTGCTAAATTTCACTACACAGCTAAACAGTATGGGTCTGATTACTACGGCAGTGGCAGTTCAGTAAAGGAGAAATCTTTGTGGATTGAATAGTCAGCAGATGTTAGCTGCTGTAAGTTGGAAAGATTTCTCAGAGTGAAGAGGCGTAGAGATGGCACTCAAGTAAAGAGGGATATTGTAAGTGAAGACCACGATGTAGAAATGAGATTGATTTTATTGATGAAGAATTGGCATGTTGCCTACACTAGAAAGGATTGGAGTTAGATACCATTAAAAGGAAAACTGACAAAATCTGAGTTTTCCAGTGATATTTTAGAGTGGCATAAGAATCAGATTTGTTTGTAAGAAGTACGAGTTGATGGTGACTTGGTCTCATGTAGAAGCTTTGGGGATAGAGAGAAAAGGATCAATCCGAGCGATACATAGCAGGTAAAATATATATAGCTCTATGATGGATTGGTTATGGTGGATGAAGAAGGTGTTATACCTTGTTTTTTAACAAAAATATGGTTTGTGATAAACTGGAGAGTGTTATGTTGGGAGTAGGATTAGAAGCATAAAAGGAACAGGGTTTTTCCCAAAATGTTGGGGATTCTCAAAAACATGAACCTGCCGAGTAAAAAATTTCTTACACTTTCTCAGAAGTAACTGACAGCCCAGAAAGCTTTTAAAGCAGAGATGGACAGGCTAATGGGCAGTGATTTTCGATGATAAAAATAACATCACTGAATTGTGGGAAGCTCTTCTATGTACATTATTGTTGTTTGAGCCTCGAAATAGCTGTATGTACTGAAGAATCCTACCATCTGCTTCTTTCTCCAGGAGATTAAGAATTTGCTTAAGGTCACTTAGCTGGAAGTGGCAGACTAGGTCCAGTCCTATGGAATGCTGTCTCATTTATTTTTCTTTTTAATTTTAGAAGTAAAGAGAAAATTATATTCAACTAGAATTTAAACACCTTCAAAGGTATCCTTTTCAGCATCCCATATTGACCATAAACACATTTAGAATAATTGACTGCCTTCCTCACTAAGCAAGACAAGCAAGGTTAGCATGAAAATATTTCAAGAATATTTTTAATTTGAACAAAATGTAGATACCTACACAATAATAGCCTTTCTAGGTTACATAAGGTTAGCTCCATTTATGTATCAGATGCATGTCAACAGAAACTATAGCATTTGTGAATGTATATTTTTAATTTTCATGTATTTACTTTGAAGCTATTTTTAGTAGCATATTTTTCTTCCAGATGAAGGCTTCAAACACCCCTCTTTTTTTGTAAAATAAAATGTATCCATAGAAACTAAAATTTCAAAGAGGCTGGCTTTCCTTTATTTTGACTATTAAAGTTTTAGGTTTTAAAAATAGAAACAAGTTGATTTCTACAGTTTCTATAGCCAGGCTTCCCCAATCATAATTGATTTTCTGCCCAGCTGTACAGGCCACAGATGTTTTTTAGCACATGTATGAGACAAGTTTCAGACCTTACTGGAGAGTGAATCCTAAGCAGGCATTTAATCTCCTTGGGGCAGGATGTGTGGGTGATCCAGACATAAAACTATGCACTGTTTGGAGAAACATTCTTATCCTAAATTGTCCTTGGGACGCTTTTTAATTCTAGATTCTTTCTCTGTTGTAGAGTAATTCCATAATTGGGTTTATTCTGTGTATTAGGGATGTTTCCTCCATATAAATATTTAATGAGCTTTCAAGAGATAGTTTCTGTTTACACAAAAACATTGCATGT